GTTTGGTGTGACGTCCATTTTCACTGAACTAGTACACAATTGTTTTTAGGGGCCAGCTGAGGATCACCTCCGGGTGCGGGATTTTTGAGCTGCGTTGAAGACCCATTGGTGGCCTTCGGCTGTTGTCTGCTCTTTTGTTGGGTTGTTGTCTCTTTGACATATTCCCCATTTCCATTCTCAATTTTACGAAGGTTTGGTTTTCTTTACAGATTTTTACAGTGCATATCAGAGTTGGTTTTGTGTAAACATTAGAAAAAAAAAGACAAACGGCTAACACGGTGCATATCCCCGCGCCGGTTTTTCAATAAAAAAGTTGGAGAATTTATTATAATTATTCCCCATCCCAAAATTGTTAAAGGTTGGGCTCTTAAATTTTAATAGTGTTCTATACATTAAATATATGTTATTATTCTTCACTAGTGTGACAGGGGTTCTGGTATAATATACAATTATGGACCGTAGAAAAGGTGAATACCCAAAATTAACAAGCTTAAAGCGTTATTTCCCTGTGAGGGCGCAGGTGTTAGGGTCTGAGACAAATTCCGGGTTCATTTGTTTGATTTCGATAAACTGTAATTAAAAACAAACTTTATAAATTTGGTGCGTCCGAACCACTTTTCTTCATTCATAAGGGACGCTCAAAACACAAAGTTGGAAAGCCAGGGATGAATTAATATGCGATGATCTTAATGGATAAAAGGGACCTTAAAATCATGCAAGGTCAATAAACTCGTCATAGATATCAGGATTCATTTTTTTTAATACTCATCAGTGTCATCTGAATGAAACAAGTTAAAATGCAAAATTTGCTTTAAGGAGCTTGGACCTTAGTTTCATACTTATTTCTAAATTTATTGACGGTAAGTTCAGGATTAAGTGTCAATTGCTTATCCAAGATATTTACAAAACTTTACAAATTCATGAGTTTAGGGAAATTATCAATTACCTATGGCACAATCCTTATTCTGGGTTTATAGTTTCTTGGATTGTCCTCGGCATTGTGTGACTTAAAACGAACAGTCAAACACTTTACTAGTGAACACAGGAACAATAAACATATTAAGATATTTCCTGCATCATTTTTTCTAAATATAATTTCAGAAACAAATTAAACGCAAAGGCTCTCCTTATGGCGAATGTAACAATCGTCCATTGTGGAATCCACTATCTTCAGTTTGGGTAGGTAAACAATATTTTCAAATTAAAAAAAATACACTTCTGAGGATTTCTCAGAATTAAAAAGTTGCATGATGATATGCAAATGTTTGCCAAAATTGTTTAGATGAAGTCGACATGTTTTGACTCTACTATAACCAGAGAATAGTATGTATTATTAGAACGTTAGAACGTTAAAATTTTTATCCCCCCCCCCTCCTGGATTTGAATTTTTCTCATTAGTTGGTCAATGAATGATATCATATCATGTCATATAATGAAACAAATGTGATCAAAATTTAAATTTCAAGTAAACTGACCATGAAATGTGCCTTAAAACATGTAAAAAGAATATACTCCAAATTCAATTTTCGACTACTTCGTGTAGTCACTGATCTTTCATTATCAAAATCTATCTTGGTTTATTTTTCCTAGTACCCATTTGCTCCGTTGGTATCCTTTGTTTCTTATATAAAGTCAAACTTTGTATGTATAAGGTCAAACCACCTATAATGCCCTTGCAAAACGCGTCACTCAAATATTTAATTGCATAATAATACAAACGTTTTTAGAATAACATATAATAAACTTTTTATTTTTTACACGTGCGAGTTTTAGAAAAAAACGACATCACATGGACCCCAAGTTATTCAATTAATAACTTTAAAAAATGCATTTTTTACGCCTGCAAAGTTTTCCTTAACATTGAAAAATTAGTCTTTGAAAGAGGGACGAAAGATACCAGAAGGACAGTCAAACTCATAGATCGAAAACAAACTGACAACGAACTGCATGTAGGTTAATCTAACACAACAAAAACGTAGATTTTCCTTTTTATATGAACGTTTTGTAAACGGCATTATGTTTCCTAAAGGTTTGATATTTTCAAACTAGTTTGTTAGTTAAGCCAATTGCAACTAGATTTTTACAGTTTGTTATTGTGTTGTGCGGTTAATCATCTGTCCCAGCTGGTTAGGGGAGGGTTTAGCGTCTACAAACATGTTAAATCCGCTACATTCTGAATGTGCCTGTCCCAATTCTGGAACCTGTAATTCAGTGGTCGTCGTTTGTTGCTGTATATCATAAATTTTGACCGAAAGGACAAATGTAAAACAATTCAATCGAGAAAACTAACGGCCTAATTTATATATAAAAAAATATTTTTCAAGATCAAAAAGACCGTTTCATTTTATTCACCAGTGTATTATGCAGTGGTTGCTTTTGGTATTGCAATTGATTTTACCTCTAAATTACCTTTTAGTCGAACTTTCAAGATTATACCCAATTAGGTATTGAGTAACTCTGCAGAAGATATGAATGAATGAATGATTTTATTCTCATAAACTAGTTCATAGCTACAGAGAAAATAACAGTCCATATATAATACATATTTTGTTTCGCATGTGTGAAAATGAATAACAATATAATAATATTACAGTTCCTCTAACCAGGAGGACAGACTTTCACTGATATGCATCGTATAAATCTACACAATTTTTCTAGTTCAACAACATTTTCAGATGAGAATATATGATTAAACTTAATAATGTTAGCATTTTTGTTACAATAATGTGGTAAATATTTTTCTCTTTCTATGTTGAAAAAATTGCATGACATTATGTAATGAAATTCATCGCCAATATCTGTAGAGCTGCAGAGGTGACAAGACCTTTCCGATCTCGGAATAGTTTGCCACCTTCCCGTCTCCACTGGCAAACGATGATTTCCGCATCTAAATTTACACAAAGTATATAAAAAATTAAAAGGCAAAATCGATAAATACTTTTCAAATTTAAATTCGGTCTTGTAAATTCTATAACATAAACTTTTCGAGGATTGATGTAAATCTGCAAACCAGTCTTGTCGAAATTGGTCTTTAAGCTTTTGCTCAATACTTAATTTTATCCATTTTTTGTTAAAACAATCTTGGCAATGCCATACATTTGACATGCCACATTCATCAAATATTTTCTTAATAAATAACATCCATTTATTTCCAATACCATAATTGTTACAATTAATGTATGATAGTTTATAAAGTATACAGGATAATTTATCTTCATTTGTATTATCAAGAATGCGACACCAAAAGTTGATCATTCGTAGTTTAGCATATATTGAAATAGGGTATCTCCCAAGTTCTCCATAAATCATAAAACTTGGAGTCGAGTTTTTAAGTTTTAAAATGTGCTTACAGAATTTCAAATGCATTCAATCGATAAATGGTTTAATCTGCTCTTCTTGATAACAGTGTACATAGCTTTAGTTGCTTGGTCTCGTAAATATTTCCTAGTTTCGAAAAAAGATGCATTTCTAGAGAAAATAACACCAAGGTATTTATAATGTTTAACTATCTCTATTTCTTCTTTTTCAATATAAAACTTCAAATTATTTGATATTCTTCCTCTTGTAAAAACCATCACTTTGGTTTTGCTAACATTGATTCTTAACTTCCAATTATTACAATACTGTGAAAAATTATTCAAAAGTAACTGTAAATCTGAACTTGATTCAGCAAGTAAAATAGTATCATCGGCATATAATAATACAAACAGTTTAAGGTAAATATTTAGTTCATTTTCTATATCCAATGTTAAAGATTGTACACCACTAATGTTAACAATTTCTAAATACTGCTGCAAATCGTTCAAATATAGAGAGAATAACAAAGGAGAAAGATTTTTCCCCTTGTCGAACACCAATTTCACTAGCAAACATGTCAGATAAATTATTATTATGTACAATACGTGATTTAACATCATCATACATATTTTTAACAACTCTATGAAACTTTTCTTTTACATTATTCAAAAGGAGTTTATATAATAAAGAATTACGGTGTACAAAATCAAAGGCCTTTTCAAAATCTACAAAAGCGCAAAAAAGCTTTTTCTTTTTAACGCTGAGAAGTTCAAAAAGTGCATATAAAGAAAAAATATGATCCGTAGTAGAGTAACCATGTCGGAAGCCGGCTTGATTTTCATTTAATATATTCAATTCATCAACGAATAAACCCAACCTGTCATCAAGAATAGATGTAAATATATATCATACACATACGTTCGTCAGATGATTGATCATTTTAATGTAAACTTTGTTCACTTTAAAAAAATCAACAAAACACCTCTGTAAAAATGTGTTCATATGGCGATTATCTCTTTGTATTTATATAACGTGTACAACAAAGGATTTCGTATTAACATTATGATAAATTAAACATAATTCATCATACCTTTGATAAATGAAGTTATATTAATTTTACAATGTCGGAATTATCTCGGGTCAATTTGAATTTCCACTGATGCTTGTGAATGTGTGTGCTAAATATTTTCAGTTGCTATAACCATAGATATACTATTTTCTGTAAAAGGGATGTATCAAATACTGTCTTGAAGAAGCCTATTCACAATACTGTCAATGCCAGAATAACTTGATAGTCAAGAACGATACAGACAATTACATACGTCAAAAATACTGTAAAGAAACACCATATGGTAAGTTATATTGAGATGATTATTGCTTTTATGCCACGATTGGGTGCAAAATTGATATGGTACAACCATAAGCAACTAATGCTATTACATTCAGTTGAACAATTATGTATACTAAATTAGTCCCCAGTGACAAAAATATAAAAAATTAAAAACCACCATAGCTAATGGATCTAATATAACCCATCCATCTAATTTGCCAGATTTCAAGTTGCATTTGATAAACAACCATTCGAATTTTTTGCATTGATTTAATAAGAATAAAGTAATCTGCATAATTCTTGTCAAAACGTGCATTGTCTTCTTTTGTTATTATTGGTGTCATAACTATTTATCATTGGTGTTATAATCAGAATGGCAGGTAATATAGTATTAAAAGTAATTGGGACAATCACGTTCTCAAACAGTAAACAACATTTCAATTTTAAGTTAAGCAATCTTTTGAAACATTTTTTTTGTTGAAACATGTCATCCAAGCGTTATTTAGTTTTAAATGTAAATAAAATTACAATTTGTCATTAATTACCAAATTAATTAAATGTAAACAGTGTACATTTTCACATACACTTGTCATATACTAAATATTGCTTCCATAACACATATATTACTGTGAGTCTAAAATACGTTACATTGTTAGCTATACATGTAAATTGATTCTTCAAAATGATTCAAGAAAGGCACAAACTTCATTTGCCTTCACCATTTTAGATAACTTATATGTAAGAAAATGTCAGTAGAAGTTAAAAAAATAAAATATATTACAGGTTCAAATGTAAAGAATGAAAATCTATACTACAGACTCCTGTTTCAAAATTATATAATTCAAAGATTTTCACATTTATCGACTAAGGAAATTTTAGATAATTGTTTTTGATAGAGTTTTTAAGTTCTACATCAAATGAATGCATAACAAATCGCTCTTTGTTAATTCATCTGTCGGTGTTGTACATGGTTAAGCTTAACTCTTTAATTATCATTTTCAAGATACAAAATGTTCAATTGAAACCTACAAAACAATACTTGAAACTGACGGATTCTGTGGCTGTCATCCTCCATGCAAGTAAGACATTTAGAAAACACATTTTACGAAGATAGATATATTTATTTTACGAATACACAAAGTATACTTGATAAAATTCTTTTTATCAGAAACACAACCTGGTGTAGTAATCCTGAAACGAGTATCATAGTAACTGCTACATTGTATATTAGATAGAAATAATTAAAAATGGTATAAACATCAATGGCACAGTAATCCAATCAAATACCACCTACACACCACATAACACATACATATAAAAATAAATGGAACGGTTTAGTTTATCATAATGGGAATGTTCAATCGGTTTGGGTCTTGATAATATTGAATAATTTTTAAAATAACTTTAAAATTTGCTCTCCTCATTATCCTTTCAATAAAGATCTGCTCTGACAGGCTTTTAACCTCAGACGAACCATTTGTGGTTGGCTTTTAATATTATAGTGTTATTAATTGGCTGTTTCTGTGTTTCTGTATTGGCCCTGATATAGATTCGAGGTTAGCTGTATTGAACCCGAGACTCAAAGAGTCGAGGGCCAATACAGCTGATCGAAAATGGGGATGAGGGTTGATATTTTAATCAGGCACTGACCACTTATCAATCTGCATATTTTTGTAGGAGTTTTCAATTAAGAAACTCATTCATTCCGCGCTTCATACAAAATGTACTTCGGTCAACGCTTTTAAAACCCTTTAAAATTACTAAAAGAAGCATTCAATACTTATAATTATATTAAATTTTTTTTTTGCTACGATCATGAAAACATGATTTCTATCAAGTTTATTTCTTTTATTTACAAAAATGTACCTGTGCACTTTATTGTGGAAGCTCTTCTCATCAGGAATGCAACATTTTATTATGAAATGAAGGTTAATTTCAGAATGACGCGGGATTGCTGTTTGCCAATCAAAATAACGTATCATAATGAAACATACAGACCTATAATGGTTTATTTTTATAAATTTTGACTTGGATGGAGAGTTGTCTCATTGGCACTCATACCACATCTTCTTATATCTGTGTAATGTAATTATATACATATATGCATTTTGTGCATCAATATAACTGATGTATCGTGTTTGTTATTTCGAATGAATACCTTAAGCAACACGACGGGTGCCACATGTGGAGCAGGATCTGCTTAAAACCTTTTCGGAGCACCTGAGATCACCCCCAGTTTTTGGTGGGGTTCGTGTTGTTTAGTCTTTAGTTTTCTATGTTGTGTCATCTGTGCTATTATTTGTCTGTTTGTCTTTTTATTTTTGGCCATGGCGTTGTCAGTTTGTTTTCGATCTGTGAGTTTGACTGTCCCTCTGGTATCTTTTGTCCCTCTTTTATAGCGTCAAGCTGAAGCCCGCCTTCAGGTGCGGGATTTTCGCGCTGTGTTGAAGACCCATTGATGGCCTTTGGCTGTTTTTCTGCCCTTTGGTCGTGTTGTTTTCTCTTTGACACGTTCCCAGTTTCCATTCTCAATTTTAATTATAAAATTACCACTGTAAAAAAAATACTATCAGCGATAATAACGATTCCCTAACAGTAATACAGGTAGGAGAAATACACTCGTGCAGGTAACAACGGGTGATAAAGTTGATAATTAATGTAAAAGAAAACTACAGCTTAATACTAATACAAGTATTACAATTATGCTAAAATTATTAAATGCACGCTTAATTACGCAAATATATTACAATTGTTACGAACAACACAATCATTTCCGTTTGTTTCGAAATATTTCATTTGACTTTTGTTTGTTAATTTTGTAGTGAAAAGGTATATTTACAAACAATATCATCAAGAACATGGCCTCATAAGGATAAACAGGTAATATAATTTAGGTAACGGACTTATTTTCTTGTGGAGAGTTGTCTCATTGGCAATCATACCACATCTTCTTTTTTATATTAAACATTCATTATATTTGATTTGATTGCTTATATATTGTACTTGAAAGGGAGTTTCGTTGGTTCATGTCTGTCATATTTGTTTTTCGTAAATCGTTTTGTCATTAATTAGGGCGTTAGTTTTCTCAATTGAATTTCATGTCGGGGCCTTTTATAGCCGACCATACGGTATGGGTTTTTCTCATTGTTGAAGGCCGTATGGTTGCCTATACTTGCTTAAATCCACTTCATTTTAACTTTGGTGGTTAGCTGTCTCATTATCAATCATACCACATCTCCTTATTTTTATATTATTCACGCAAAGGCGAAATTTTCGCATTCTTATCTGCTGCATGTATGTGAAATAAATTTGAGTGAAGATCTCACACTTTCTATTCTTGCATGTATTTATTTACTAGCATGCAGGCCCTAATGACATGATATGAATAGTTCATACTTGACAAGTATTACAATTATAACGGTAAAAAAGTACCTTATTACAGTTTATATAATCAAAATTTAATATTAATTAATAAGCAATATCAAACCTGTAACGCTTTGAAATTTTAGCCTTTGTATTTGAAATGTTCAGATTTAGTAACCTACATTTTGTACTTGTTGCGACATTGTGTAGCACTCTGTCATTTTCTTAAAAAGTGAAAAAGAAGGGACATCTAAAAACTCATTACTCGAAGAAAAACAGACAATGCCATGGCAAATAAAACCCAAAATCGACCAAAAAACAAATAAAAAAAACACTTCATAGAAAACTAAAGCTGAACAACACGAACTCCAACAAAAACCTATGGAGAACTGGTGTGCTCCGGAAGAGTAGGCATATGGCACCCATCGTGTTGCTCATGCGAGTATAAATCCGGTGATAAGTCTCATTCGGTGAAGTTACAATCGAAGGATGACTTCAACTTCACTTTTCGGAACCCTTGGTTCAATAGATTTCATGTAAGCAGGAACCCTTTATCAAAGTTGTCTGTTTGCATTGGACATAGGACGAAACGTTACTTATACTGCACACTCAGAACCAGTAAAAAATCTCATTGCCAAATAATGGTCTTTAGCACTATCGATATTCGACACACTGCAACTAGTAAGTAACAAAGAGACAGCCAATACAAATGGGAAAATCCACTTGACAAACACAAATCTACAAACCACTGAATGGAAAACTAAAAACTTAGCAACGCCAATCAAAAAACATTATTATTCGAAATACATTTATTTCTTATGATGGATTATTAAAATACTAGTATATAAAATACAAATAACACTTTAAATAATAAATAAATTAATGAATAGAGAGTATTACAGTTAAAAAGTTTTAAAAGTAAGAAGTGGCATCTTGAATAGGTTGGGTATCTTTGCATATAATTCTTAGTACATAGTCTTAAGATAGCGAATACGAAAGCATAATTTTGAATACATGATTGATTGTTGCTTTTTTAACATCAAGTTGAAATTATTTCTTAAATATTCAGTTCGGGTTTGACATAAAGCATAACAGCTTTACGTATTTGCAGGAGGCTTTGATGACTGAGGTTTGTTCACCGATTGGAAACTGCACAGCAAATAATATAACCATGTCAACTGAAGAACTTGAGTATGATTTTTTCCTTTCTTTTGTTACATATCTGTTTTGTTCATAAAAGAGGTTAAAATGCATTAGTATTGTTTATAATTAAAAAAATTGCTCCTTAAAAACATGAAGATAGTTATTTATGTATAGAAGTTTTGTTTTAATAACTTGTATGAATGTACGAGCTTTAACTCATCAGAATCATAACAAGAATTGTTTGTGGATCAGGGATTGAGTCCGAGGTATATAAATGAAAGCAGTCATTATTTGATTTATTAACTTAAGAATGAAAAATGTGTTCACATTTACATTAGGATTGTGAAGTAGGTTATTCAGTGGTGTACAATTGTCAATTATTTTTGCGTTGAAGTCATTAATACTTTACAATCATAGCACGTGGGAGTTATAATTATCATAGTAGATAAACGTGAAACAGTTTTAAGGTTTTGGGATTTTAACACAATTTTCAATATGGTACCTTAATGAGTATAAGAAAATTAACTCATCACACCTTAAATAGATTCATGTGTTCCTTTCCCGCAAAAGAAATAGTTTGAAATAAATGTTATTTAACGATAGAAAAGATGCGGCATTTTACGTTATTTAGTATAATCAGAAGTTAAACATTATATTCTGATTTAATTAGACCACTACAGAAATCAAAACTGAGGATATCAAATTCGATTTTTGTTAGGGTTTTTTTTATTTGTTTAAATCGCACAACCTCTATTTCCGAATGGTTTGGATTCTGTATGGATGACTTCACGACCATATCAAATACTGAGATGTTGGCTGATCATATCGGACCTCACGTTTGTTTTTATTTTATTTTTTTAAGCTTATTTGGTCTTTTTATTATATAAGCATTAAACTTTGATTATTTCAACAAATATTTGAAAATCCATTCCTGCAAAATCAGAACAAAATGCTGACAACTTTTAATAAAATATATAGAAACAAAAAAATATTGGTTTCGACAAAAATTCAAAACGCTTAATTCTCACAGACAACCGTACGACATAATTTATATATTCTTTTGGCTTTATATATAACTATATATAAAAATAAGAAGATGTGGTATGATTGCCAATGAAACAACTTTCCATCAGAGACCAAAGGACGTAGAAGTTAGCAACTATAGGTCAACGTACAATATTCAACACTGAGCAAAACTCATATACCGCATAGCCAGCTATACAAGGCCCCGACATGACAAATGTAAAACAATCTAAATTCAAACAAGGAAATAAACGGCCTGAGTTATGTAAAAAAAAAAAAAAACAAAAAAAAAAAAACACTGAACTACAGGCTCCTTACTGATACACCTATTTCTGGAACCTGGTCTTTTAAAACACACCAGTAATCTCCCCGGATACTGCACAACGAAAGAAATCTTGAATATACATAAATTTCTTTCTTTCCAAAATGTTTACGATAAACACGTTTGGAAGAAAAGTTGAATAATTTCACTCGATGGATGAACAGACTTTAGTAAAATTGATAAAAAAAGCAATGGTTTGGTACATTGTATGATGATTTATATATTCTTAGGCACAATTTTCTGAAGCTAATCATCTACTTTGGAGATCTAAATCACGAAATTATAACAGAAGAACCAGTTTACACTGTAAGTAATTCAATGTGCTTATATTTCTATCCTTTTATCAATTCTGTCATCTCTAAAAATAAAAATACGTTATATGATATAGATGCAATCTGTTATATCTATAACCAGTGTTAATAATGAAAATTCGTTTGGTCATGATGATGATAATTATGACTATCATCATCATCACCATCATATGTATATATTATATATATAAATTGAATATAAAAAGCAATCCAAGGTAATTAAAAAAAAAATCTAACTTTGTTAAATGATAAATGATGAAAGCACTGAAAGAAAATTATGTGATAGGATATTATGTCAGTCCATATCTACACATTCACATCTGTTAAGCAAATGTGAACCCCAGCGTATATCCCAGTATGAATGTTAAGATAACAGATGTAGAAGCATCTGGCGTGCTTATTTCATTAGTAATAAATACGAGGCAATGTTGTATATATGTCTATGAGACAGTAACCCAACGACACAAATCAATCATAAAAAAAATATCTAGAGGTCAACATAATTCTTCAACAATACACAGATGATTATACAAAATTCTAGCAATATACTATTTAGTAATGCAAAAAAAAAAAATAAACGAAATCGTATCATCCAGAATCCATTGGGAGTAACTGCAGATAATTTTTTTTTTATTGAAAAGTGAAAAGAAAATTAAAGTAAATTCAAATGGAATTGCTATTGGAAGCAATAGCGGATGTCACCTTCCCCAATCGCAACTAAGCAGCATCAATTTCTAAAATTTTACACATTTTTGCTTGTTTCCATGGCAACGGCAGCTATTTTGGAAATTCTAATGTCAAAAGTCGTATCTATACTTGCAAGATAACATTTAAATTAAGTTTTATTAACTTTGGAGCATTTTTTAATTTTTGCTGTTTCCTTGGTAACGGTGGCCATTTCCAAAATTTAATGACAGATGCCACATTAGTACATGAGAGGGAACATAACATCAAAGTTCACTGGGTTTGACCTACAATTTTAGGAGAGGAAATGCTACTTAAAGGTTTTTAGAGCATTTTAACATTTTTTGCATTGTTTCCATGGTAACAGCAACCATTTTGGAAACTCCTACACATGCCATATGCCATTACTTTAAAGTTTCTTTAAGTTTGGAGAATTAAAAATTTTTTGACATTTTTGCTGTAGTTTCCATGGCAACTTAGTAGTTCTGATGATTGTCAAAATCATCCAAAACCTGTATATAGGGGACAACTACATTGTATAAAAAATGAATGATTTAAAGTACAAGCATACTCAAATAATTCACCCAACCCAAAAAATTTATTTTTGCACATGTTTTCAGTTTCCATGGTAACGGTAGCCATTAAAAAAAATCCAAAGATGTCCTGCACATCTACAGATGTTGCTTCTCATTATGCTTGACATTGGTCCAGTAGTCTCTTAGGATCGCCTCGGACAAAATAGGTGGAAGAATGATAATGATAAAGAAACGGAGGAAAAGCAATATGTCATTAATATTGTCGTACGGGTGACATAATAAGTTGACGAAGAGACTGAAAGGACAAAATATCCACGACTCAAAAGACATTTAGCCATATATAAAACAAGTTGCTGATACCATTTTCTAAACAGTTATCAACTTCAAAATAACATGTTGCTGTTATATATTTCAGTTTACAAGGCTGTTGTCTGATGTAGGAGGATCTCTTGGTTTGTGTCTTGGAGTATCTCTGCTTTGTATTTGTGAACTCGTCGAAGTTCTTTTCGACATCATCCAAACTGCTGTCAAGAAAGTTCGCAAGCGGAAATCTTGAATTCTGCAACGCTGTAGGACAGATATTGTATACTTACTTTTAATGTGACATTAAGTATTAGTAGTACTTAAATGGAATGGTAACTTTAGCATGTTTAAGATTTTTGTTTCTCTTTTTGTCAGTTATTCAGAATCGTCTAGTTTTATCCATATAGTGCGAATAAAAATTTTGCCCACTTACCCTTACTTTTCTTTTCATGATTTGATAACATATAGTTCAAAAGGCCATTTTTGAAAATATTATAAAATCCATATTATTTCTTTATTGCTTTTGAAAGAAAAAAGGAGCCAATGTAAAATGTATGAAAAATCTAGAGAGAATAATTCCCCGCCACAAAAACAAGCACACGAACCATTTATTCTTTTTCTGCTCTTAAAGTTCTGTCATTTGTATGCTACACGTATCAATTTACAATAGTCTTTTAAAAAGCTTGTTATTTTGAAACAAAGAAACGAACATCCGTAAATCATATAAAATAAAAATTGCTTAATGTAAATTTGTTAAGTGCATAAAATGATTAACAATCCACACTGATGTGAAAATTCTTCACTCATAAGTATCAAAACTTTAAAATTCTGACAATAATTATGCCCCCGCCGTATGCGACGGGTCATTACGTGTTACCCTTGACCGTCTGCACTGCGTCTGTCCGTCCTTCCCTCCGTCCCATTTTCGTTTCCGCACTCTAACTTAAGTTTGCCGCATGCAAATTTTATGAAACTTATACACAATACTGAGAACTACAACACACATACAGAGTTCGAATTTGGGCAGTGAGTCGCTAATTACAGTTCTAGAGTTATACCCCTTTATAACTTGGAAAATTGCAAAGTTTTCCGTTTCCGCACTCTAACTTAAGTTTGCCTTTAGGCAAATTTTATGAAACTCATACACAATGCTAAAAACCAAAAACTGCCAAACAGAGGTCGAATTTAGGCTGTGAGTTGTTTACCGTTCTAGAGATATGCCCTTTATAACTTGGAAAATTGCAATTTTTTCGCTTCCACACTCCAACTTAAGTTTACCCCATGCAAATTTTATGAAAATCATACACAATGCTAAGAACCACAACACGCAGACAGAGTGCGAATTTTGGCAATGATTCATTTTCCATTCTAGAGTTATGCCCCTTATTAACTTGGAAAATTGCAAAGCTTGAGCGGGGGCATTCGTGTCCTCAGACACATTCTTCTTGTATGTTTTTAAGGGGAGAGTGGACTGCGTGGATAGTATTAAAAACGTGTACGATATTTTTAATCGATCGAAGTGATGAGTGTCATTAAAATAAACAATTCTTACCGGAAATATAATAATTTATATATATTGCTCAGTACCCAGGGACTGACGTTTCGCGTACTAAATCGGCATAGATTTCAGAAATTGTTTTCGAGCAGTTTATCGAAATGAATAGAGGCTTAAAGAGACTAGTTTCAATTCTGTATGTATCGTGTATTCTTTAAATCCCCCTTCACGTACACGGATTTTTCTTACGAGTCCTCACGGATTGCACAAGTTCAAGGATCCTTACGATTTGGCCACTTTTACGATCGTTTTAAGAATTATGTCAAGTCACTACGTTGTATTTACGGCAAAATGTTTCAGAAAAATTAAAGTACTTTTGATTTTGATTGACATTTTTTTTATCCCTGAAAATGATGGTAAAATAAACAAATACCTGGATTACATTTGATACTGTATAATTATGTATACTCAGTTATATCCTTTAGCTCATTTATGTTTGTGTCGATAAATATTTTCCTTATCATTAAATACAACACAATACAATTGTGACCTCAGAAGGTCATCTTACACATTTTACAAATTGCAAACTTAGTTTTTACACCTTCTGAAGGAACGAAAAAAGTGCCTATCAAAATCCCCAAAAAATATTTTATCTTTCTGAAACACACAATGGATTTAATCGTTATATACCTAGTGGATATAGGCCTTAATACTTTTCCAACTGCACTGGTAAATCTGTACTCGGATTAAATGCTCAGATTTAAACACAGCCATTTCGTCAATTTGTTGAACCTTAAGGTTTTTGCACCCCTTTGTTGTTTAAATGCTAATTATTAGATAAGGAAATTTTACAGAAAATGCATAGCTATTACTCTTATAATTTTATATTTGACAATTCGGAATTAACTGTCAATAAATAATTGAACTATGTCTCCTAGAGATTCACTATAGTAGTATTCTTTCTTTTCCCAAAAAAAAAGGAATTGGTAAGCAGAACAGAAGAAAATGTATTTGTACATTGGTATAGATTGTTGTTTAACGCCACTTTCAGCACTGTTGTGCTATTTCGTGGCGGTCAGTTTTTATTGGTGAAGGAAGCTGGAATGCCCGAAGAGAACTAGCCTACTGGATGCAGTGCTAGCTATGATTTCCAAAAACAGGCTTTAAATTAAAGATATTAGTTAAAACAAATACAAATATTGACTTATTCAAGTACGCTTTCTAGGGTGTACTAGACCTTAGTGACTCAACACAAGCTTTTGGACTTCGAAGGTTGTTTAGAAATTTTGGGAAAAAAATTAATGATACCATAACATGGACAAACATGTAATGGAAAACTTTATAAATTAACAGTGTTCCGTAATATTTTATACAAAGATTACTTACTTTTTTTCCCAAAGGGAAACGTCATTCAGAGCAATAATGTTTTGTCTGGAATAAGATTTACATCATTTATCAGCCAGATATAGTTTCAAAGTAATAAATGTAGAATAATAATTATATGAACTTTTAAATTTGAAAACGTTTCACAAAACTATATTGTTATGTTTTGTCTATGTGAATGTTATGCTACCCAATTCTAACAAGTTATTTATAAATTGTATTCACGTCGCCCGAGTCCTCGGGTGGGGGTCCACTTTTTCAATCTAAGAGTGGATTTGTTGCAGATTATTCTTCCCACCTTTGCTATTCTTTGTCATTTATTCAATTGATGTGATTTTAGTTGTTGTAATTTCGTATCAATTATGTATTATAATTTCATATTAATTATGAACTTTCCTGTCAAATGTTTTATTTGCAAAATGTATTTTATGCATTTATGATTTTTGAATAAATGACCTTTTTTTTTTGTAAATTTAGTTTTTATATCATATATAGCATTACAACCTCATACTCTGGCCTGTGTACACATTAGTATGTTTATGGTATATGTCTGACTGTCTTAAAACCTATTTCATTTGCTAATCGAAAAGCTGAATGAAATCATTTACTAAGACAGCAGGGAAGATTAACTGTGTATTGTTTATTGCTAAGACTTATGTAAAGAGGTGGCTATATATAGTTACTGTAAATTTATGATGTCTCTATACTGGTTAATGGGTCAGATTTGTCATACCTAATTAGAAGATAAGTTGTTGAAATTCGATAACATGTTTTCACGTGTAGAGAAATTTCACTAATGACCAGTGCATGATTTTATTACATCTTTCTTATTGGTCAATAAGCTTGTGTGGTCAGCGCGAGTTCGCGTGTATCTGCTCTGTGTGTGCGTCCTTTTATCGTTTGTGTGTTTATTAGTGGGGGGATTTTTCTCCCCACCTTTGCTGTTCTTTGTCATTTATTCAATTGGTATGATTTTAGTTGATGTAATTTCGTATTAATTATGTATTATAATTTCATATCAGTTATGAACTTTATGTCAAATGTTTTATATGCAAAATGTATATTTTGCATTTTATGATTTTGAATAAATGACCTTTGTCTCAATTTAGTTTTCATATCATATAGCAAAACATGCTCAGACTCTGGCCTGTGTATACATTAGTATGTTTATGGTATTTATCTGTTTGTCTTAAATAGTTTTCCGTCATATTTCAAACAAAGATTAGTAATACGTACTTGTCTGTCCAAAGTGAAACGTCGTTCAGAGCAATTATATTAATTGGTTCATTGCATTTAATTGAAAATATAAACTGTTTGGCAAATCAAGTCAAGAATTTTACAGAAAGTCCACAGTCTGTAAAGAAAAAAAAAATTTTGTTGTTGTTAGCAAATGCCCCTTTGATTATCTTCGAAAATAATATTTCACACAATTTGTCCTTATCTTGGACTTAATATAAACTATATCATGTCCAAATTCTAATATACAAAAACAAGAAATTCTGAACACTAAAATTGGATTTCTCTAAGCTGTCTGTTACTTTATAAAGACAGGGTCCTAATCGACCAAAGTTTACTCTTCTGTTGAGTACTATATATACGTGTTTGTTTGTTATGTTATCAAGTTGTTCTATAAATTCATGTCTTTTTATAAGTTTTTACAATGAATATTTAGATAAATAAATAAATAAATAAATAAATAAATAAATAAATAAATAAATAAATAAATAAATAGATAAATAAATAAAGATATATCAATTAATAAATGCACTTCAACTTCTTTGTCTTCTTTATTCATCAATAGTTAAAGAAATAATAGAAAACACTTATTGTGGTACTTTAAATAATCTTTATTGCAAAAAGTAAAACCCTGACTGGTTAAAAGCAAACATACACAATCTTATCAAACAAAAGTTTTCCTATTTAATTAAATGGTCGTTCGAAAAATCTGGTTCGATAATTCGATTGCAAAATTTGCTGCAACTCATATAAAGCCTTTTTCTCAAACGATCGCGAGAAAGGTAAATATGCTAAGTATACTCACTGGAGGTGTGATGAGATGATTAAAGCACTAAATTTTCTCCTTGACAACATTTATGTACGTTTCGGCAATAAAGTTTATCGACGGATTGTAGGTATACATATGGGCACCAATTGTGCCCCTTTAATAGCAGACTTGTTCCTGTACTGTTCACAGTGTATGGCCAAACTCAGTAAAGACCCGTCTAAATTCCATTTAACTGATAAATTCAACAGCACTTACCGTTATCTTGATCATATTTTTTCGTTAAATAATCAAGAATTCTCTAAACATACTGCCGAAATTTACCCACAGCAGCTTACTTTAAATAAATCAAATATTAACAGCAATAAGTGTCCTTTCCTAGA